AAAGTCATTCTTTCAAAAGCAGTGGCATGTTAAAAGTGCTAGAATCAAAACAAGCTAACCAAATCCAGAATATTAGTATTTTTTAACTGGAAAGCTTATTCCTTAAGATTATTTGAAAAAAACATTTTTAAGCTTTATTAGATCAAATCAGTAGCTAAGTGCATGTCAGCTACAAAGCAAAACGGACACACTTGCACTGCAGCTGTTGTACATGGTGCTGAGTGGGTTGCTAAATGATAGTAAACAAATGTACATTAACCTTCTGAGATGCACAGGCTGGTTTTTTGCATGCCCCAAAATTCATCATCTCAATGTTTTGGAATAATACATATTTAGTAGCGATGTCACCCACAAGGAATCAGGAAACAAAAACTATTAATTTTTTGTTCCATCTAGTTACCACATTGATTATATAATGTAAATTTTTGGGGAATGTACTGAATTGAGTGCAGTGACTTGTTTATTTGTTACTACTTTGTATCCAGCAAAATAAATCCAAATATGTAACACTTCCATGATAACCAAAATACAAGCGTTGGTCGCATATGTTAAGCTTCACTGTGTGGACTGTTGAAATCTTTCTGTAGTCTTCTTGCACAACCAACCAAACCAAATAAAAATCAAAATGTTTTCATGTAATTTATTTGAAATGCTTCCAGAAAAGTTTAAGGCTATCATTTAAAAAAAAAAAAGTCAATACATACATTCATTCTTTCCTCGCTATCTGAACACTTTAACACTTTTTGCTCTTTTTAAACATTTTGCTGAATAGGTTTTATGAAAATGGTTCATCGTCTAATATGCTTTCCTATGCCTTTTCTTTTGCAGATTTTTTCCTTTCATCTTCACTGGCATACTCATTCAGCTCTAAAAATGAAGCAGTTGAAATAAATTACAAAGCCTAAAACAGAAAAGAAAATTGACTTTTTTTAAAAACTATAAATACAGAAATATGTTCTAAAGGGTAAAAATGACATTTTTTAAAAAATATAAATACCTTGTTTTATATTGTTTATCATCTTGTCACACTGATTTCTGTAATGCGCATCAGCATATATATATATGCAAGATACTTGACATTTACTGTTTTCTGTAAACTTGTAGAACAGAAGAAAAATGTTTTTGGCAATAACTTAGCAGGTTTTTTTACTTTTGATGGTATATGTACTTTGCACAGGTTATCTTGTGTAATATCAAGGATCATTTCAATTTATTAATATATCATTTTTATAGCTTGCCATACAGCATTGGCATTATTACTTTTACCAAGAAATAAAATATTACCCGGGGATTCCTGAAAAGTAACAGGATGTTGAATTGAGTGTTTTAGACTGCATTTAAGTGACTCGTCTGCTTCTCATCATAATGAGTAGATTAAATCAGCCACCAGAAAACACAGTAACGTTTCCAATTACAGCATGAGATTAAAGGCAATAAAAAAAAAAATGTAAAACAAAACTTGAGAAAAATATAAAGGATGTAATACATCCTAGAGGAAAAGCAATTCCCTTTTTGTTTAAACTTTCTCTACATAATCCCATGGCATGTAGAGCACCATTTATATAAAATTGTAACTTAGTTTAAAAACCAACTACATGTAACTGTAAACAGACATTTACAGGAAATTAAATGTTTTAACATTAGTTTAGTGGTGTTTAAAACCAACAGTGGAGGTCAATGGAGTGCAAAATGCTGAAGAGGGCCTATTCACAACCAAAAGCTTTTTTCCATTCTTATCCTGTTTGGGATTAAAAAAAAAAAAAAAAAAAAAAGAAAGAAAAAAATATATATGGCACTAAAAGCAAACCAACAGCTTATTTACAAATACCCAGTATTCTCAGCATTTCATTTAATTCAGTGCTGGCTGTAGAGGTTTGGTTGGGTTTGGGTTTTGTATTATTATTATTAGCATTTCATGCTATAATAAATAAACCATAGCACTATGCTGACCACTTTAACTGACCAGATTTTAATAAGTTTGGTTGCTGGATCTTATGACACTGCTTCATGTTGAAAATTAATCCCTAAAAAGCCACTGGCTACACGGCCCGCTCTTATAGTTCTTGATGATTTAATACCACAAGAATTCAGACAGGTTATTACAAGATATTTTTCTTTTTTCCCCATGAAGCTATTTTTTCCTTCCATGCTTTTATGAAAGCTGACGATCATGATAACTGTTCCTGAAACTCCATATTCAGTCCACATCTTCAGCTGCCCCATTAAAGGGCAAATAAAGTACTTCAAAAATTATGAAAAGATTCTTTATGTAATGCACATATAAACAGTAGTTTAGAGATTCTGTTTACAGCAGGACATTGAGAATAACTGGTCAAGTACCTCTTTCATCCACCTTAGGTATTTATGGAATATAATCACAGGACATGAGTTGCAAGAGATTCCAGCTTATACAGATTGGCAGTTACAGTACTACACTCATAGGTACGAATACAAGAAGGACTGCATTGACATTGTCACAAAAAATATTTTAAAAGTGCTTCTCCAAATGGTTCCATGTATGGAATGCAAATACTGTACAGGTAAGAGACAGATGTACTTCTGTGAACTGTAAGGTTTTGTCAAACATTGGTTTCTATTTGCTTTTCATTTTCACAGGAGTTTGTCTGTTCCATACGTTCACAGTCGATGCTGATCTCACTGGTGTCCATACTATAGTCGGACTCACAGTCTGATTGGTCCATTTGCTCGAGCGTGGTTTCTCCCTGGGGTACTCTGCTTCCATGTGGTGACAAAAGAAAATGTGCTGCCGAGTTCAGCACGCCAGCTTTGCCTGCACACGTAACTTTTTCTTTGGCCTGGCGGATACAGTTAAGCCACTGTTGTTTGTTGAAGGAATCATTGGCTTGAAGCGAGTGAGACTGGCTTTGAGATCCATTTTTGAAGCTGACTCTAAAGAAGTTTTTGACTGAAAGAAACAATACATATCAAAATACTGAATGCTTTGGCTGAGTGATTTTTATAATAAATGAGTACATTAAAATAACAGAATCTGCAAACTCTTTGACTTGGCAGGTGTTTTCCTGCCAATACCATGTCAGACCAGAGAGAAAAATCTAGGTATTTCCTTCTTTTATGGGGCAAGAACACAGAACACCACAAGCAGTTCTAATGCTTTCTTATTGCTGGATTACACAATTTTGGTTCTGCCATGTATGAGCGACCCATAAAACTTTCAGTGAATCAGAAGGATTAAGGCGTCTCCCACACTTCAACGCCTCTCTCGGTACTTCTCTGCAAAGCAGATTTCCAGACCTTCACTGAACACTGTGCCTTTGCGTCTGCTGGAGATTGCCTCATCTCTTCCATTCATTTCACTAATAAAGCGAATACATACAAAAAACCCTCAAAGTTTTCACAAGATAAGTGAAATTCAGAAGACCCTTGTAATAGAAACAAGTATCTTTAGAATATGCTTAATTAGAAGGACATTAAATCTTACCTCCTGGCATTAACATGAATACCTGCAGTCTTAACACTGAGCCCAAAATTAATTACCTGTCAGGTGAAAGACTTAATTATGGAATAGCAATCAATGTCTCCATAAGACAAGAAAAGTCATAACAGCTAAAGCTTATCTTAAGATTTCAAAATACACTTGCTTGTAATTTTATGCTTTTGGCACTACATTCTACATATTCCCACCTTCTCAATTCAGTACCAGAGCAGGTGTGTGGAGAAATCCCAATATCAATATAGTGAACTATATAAACCTGTTTGAAATAAAAATCAAGACACTGTATGTAGATAATGACAATTTTAAGAAAACATCCTGATGTCTCATTGGCAGGTGTCTTACAGTTATAATGATCCTATATGAGCAAATAAAGAATAAAGGTGTAGTCATACTTCTCTCATTGTTGCTGAATGCACCACGTATGGATCCACCCAATCGCACTTCTCCATCCTGCAAGTCTTCGAGCACGAGCTCCCTCACCGGAATTGGCTGCCGATACAGCTGATAGCAGAGCTGTTCGTTGTGGGTGATAGCTCGAGTAATCACCAGCACTTCTTCAAAGAGGAAGACATGCAGTTTCTGTTAAAAATTAATAAATAATGCATTATTCCTTTGTTAGAACATCATTAAACAAAATTTATTTTAACTCTAGTACATTATAACCTTGTATTTTCAACAGTTAAAATAAATAAGGATTTCTCTCTTCCCACTATTTAGAAGTCCTATGGCGCAACAGCATATAAGTATGTAAACATAACAATTAAAAAACTTCTAAAATTATTTTTCCTGTTGTTTTCTCAGTTTCTTATGTCATGATCCCAATTAATCTTTAAATGTTGAGGCCTTGAAATTTTATGCATGACATTTCAAAGGTCTCTCTACAACAGCACGCTTATACGCATTCTTCTTTCTGACATCCACTTTAACTTTTCTCTACTGCCTGTGTTACTAAGAAACAGGCGATCTTATTAATCCAAATATTTTCAATGAACAGTTATGAGCAATCTTTTTACAACTCACATGCTGCTCACAATGAGCTTCACCACAGCTCTTTGAAGCTCAGCAGATTACATTTGGCAATCTCCAGTGGCTTCCAGTAATAAACAAACTGAAATTTTAAATTCATTTCACTTGATATCATGCATCAAAATTAGTTTTTTTTCCACTGCCAGTAATTTCATCCCAATCGCAAGTAACTGTTCTTTGCTTCTAATGTTGACGTGACTCTAAATCTAAATAGACACATTATTTGCCGTTTTAACACAAGATAGATCTTCAGATCCATTTAGCTCAGTGTCCCATCTTTCAGTAGCTCATGCTTTCAGAAAATTTTAATGAAAGAGTTAATTATAGCAGAAACCTTTCCCAATGTGCCTTGGCAGTCTTCCAATATTGAAAAACTCCATTTTATTTTTCATGACACCTCATTTTGTATCCATGAGTAGTCTATTTTTTTCTAGTTGGGCCTCTCTAAGTATTTGCAGGACACACACCTAAACTTTTGTTTGTTCCTTATTCCTCAGTGCTATAATCTTTGGTATTAACACCGACTCTATGCAGAATCAGATAAAAAAATCTGCCCAATACATGTTTCAGTGTCGATGTTTGGCAAATGGCTACCTTTTCATACGAATGAAACATCAAAGAAAGCAAAAAATGTGTGATATTAAACACCTGAGGTATACACAGGGATGGTTGTTTGCTTGTGAAGTAGGGTTGGGTTTTGGGTTTTTTTAATATTCTAAATGTGCAGCAAAAATACCTGGTCTATTTTGAAACTCTGTTTTCAAACCATCATCCACAAAATGTTGCAGATTCTTCATAACTTAAAGCTTTGTTATGGCTGATTTTAGTGGGAGTCGTATGAAACACTTTTCAATGGTGAGATCTTATTTGCTGCAAAAGCTAGTACTTTGTAATAGCAAGTGTGAAAAGGAGACTGATAGCACTGAGATAGAAATGGTTTGATCTGTTTTTCAACCCAAGTCAAAGAAACGCACAAACAAAAACACCTCACACTGTGAACTGTATTCAAGGAATACATCAGTGTGGAAACCTCCCAAAAATGCTGGGGAATTTTAAATGCCCTTCATAAATTGAAAATCATTAATTATATATTTAATGTTATACTACCAAAGAACGGCAGGGGTAGTGTGGATGGAGCAAATAAAGATCACCAGAAAGATGAAAATTGCCAGTTCCTTCCTGCTCATTTGCTATACATTAACTGCCTGCCTGATCTTTATCCGGTGAACCAGAAAGGGTCTCTATTTCGTCTTTCCATCTCAGCCATATGGTAAAACATGATCCTTCTATTGCATGAATAAAAACACTACATAGAAGTGCTCCCAGCACTAAGAAATGCATTTAGATTTCTGCTTATTTTGTTTGTTTCCTTTTTTAAATAAAACTTTCTTAAGCTCAGTTTATGAGAAAAAGATCTTTTTGCGTTGTTTGTCCATTCAAAATCTCATGTTGTATCTAGTTGACCTAGAAAAAAAAAATCTAAGAATGACTGGTTTCTATTCTATTAATATCTCTACTAATCTGCATGTTCTTTATTTTTTTTAAATTGGAAAGCTCAGCTTATGACACATCAATCCTGCAGACTCCTGGAGACTGGAATTTGCAGTACCAAATACCAAACTTCTCTGGTCAACAGATTCTCTTTGAAGTTCAACAAATAATAAAGTAAAACATTCTTAATGACCACAGCCTTTGATAGGTTTAAAATTTGTTAGTCCATATTGTGTGTCATTATAGACATTATCATAATGTCTCCGAGACCAGAAATGTGTTTCTTCCCCGCCCCCCCCCCTCCCCCCGGAAGTTTTACTTAAATTTATCAGTTTACAATTTAGCTAGGATATTGTTAGGTCTCCTTAAGAGACAGAGACACATGAAAGCTTATTATGTCCATAGACAGATACCTGACTGCTATCCAAAAATATGGGTGTTTATATATAATAGTTGATATTTATCACCCTCCTTTACGAGAGCGTGATGTTTCTGTATGCGTACTCACAGTTCTTCTAGCTGTCATGCAAAATGAAGATAACTTTAAAAGCTACTTATAACAAAATAGTGATTCCTTACCACTCCCCTGTTGTTCTTCAGTTCACCATGACAACATACAGCACGTGAATTATCAATCAGTGAATCCCTTTGGCCTTCTTCAAGATAAATAAGTCTCTCCTTGTAATACTGGCATTCAGATTCACCAGTCTTTATGTTGATTTCAGCCACTATGCCCTGAATTATATTTATCTACAGAAAAAAACCAGACACATCAACTTCAATAACACAGTTCCATATTCAGAGCTATCTCCTAATAACTTGAACTGTAGCTACAAGAAAACACATTTTAATTTACAGTATATTTTAATGAATTTTATGTAGACCAGTCTATAAGACTATTAACAACAAAATTAAGCAGACTACAGTGTACAAAGACACTTCAGTTTGGCTTTATCATTGTTTCTAACACAGGGCAGACAACTTACCTTCAATTTAAAATAGATTATAATTATCTCAAAACTGCTGTATCATATCAGAGAACAAGAAACAGAAAAACTATCAAGATCCATACCTCCAAAATATGCAACTAGCCCAAAACACTAAATTCTCAACTTCTGTTCATTATGGAAGTTATCTTCTTGAAATAAAGTAAATTAATTTTATTTCACAATTCTACTACTTGTATATGCCTACAATTTTACAATTAAAAGTAATAATTATTTTGCTTTTTTAGTTTAAAAAAAGTTAAAAAGTAAGCTTTGCCTTTTCTATAAAATCGGGTTCCCCATCTTAAACTTCCTTATACTATGCACACTTTAAGGTCCCTGAAATCAATTTATATGAAACTTAAAATATGGCTCATTAATTGGGCACGTGGATGTGAAGTTCTGTTGATTTTAGTCAACTCTAATAGTGAACAGAGGTTGCTTAGACTGATCGAATTCCTCTGCTAAATACCTGGAGGTGTAGCAGGGCAAGGGGTTGACACATACATGTCCAAATAGATAATTCAAGAATCTACTGATCCCAGGAGATTTATCAGGGATCAACTTGGTCCAATGTGCTTATAGCAGATTGCCAGACAGGAAGACAAATGTACTTCATAAGCCTAAAGCAGCGTTAAGAGCCAACCACATAAAGTAATTTCTGTTTCCTAATTTAACTTGGCAAATATACAATTTATGAAATACTTCACTTCAAAGATAGGCAGTGTTCTGCTGAAACAGAATACCACAAAGCTATATCAGGCTATTGGAATATCAAGAAAAAAAAATCATGATTGTATCTTATTAAACAATTACCAACTACGAATACGGGAAGAAAGCATTTAAAATATTTTTACGAAGATATTACCAGACATTATGTACAAAAGCAAACCTTAGAAATAAGCAAAAGAATTATTTGAGATATTTATGATTTTTTTGTTTGGGTTTATAGGAACATGCACAAGGGAAAAATGTACCTTATAGATTACATCTAAATGTGAGCATCCAAGCTTTGAATTTAAACTGCAGTTGGCCAATTTTACAATAGAGAAGTTGAGCTGGGCAAGGGATTTGGGGAAGCAACAGCAGAACAGTAGCGGTTAGGTGCATGCGTGTTTCAGAACATAGAATCACAGAATGGTTTGGGTTGGAAGGGACCTTAGAGATCAGTTAGTTCCAACCCCCCTGCTATGGGCAGGGATACCCCTCCCACGTGACCAGCATGGACTTTCCAAAAAAAAGAGGCCTGTAATTTTTCAGCAAAGAAATACTAAAATGTACAACGTATTCAAGTCTAGGCAAATAAAAAAAATTGTCTTTGAAATATTAATGATATTTACTTATATTTAAATACTATTCAAAAGCAGGAGGATACTGATGAAATTTATTTATTCATTAATTTTGAAGTGTTTCAAACAATTCTGCTACAGTGAACTCCTTTACTCCCAGAAACATGTTTGCGTGCATGCACGTTTTATTGTTTTTTTATATATATGTGTGTGTGTGTATATATATTATAGATGGGAAAGAACAGAAATCTTAGAAACCTTTCAGAATACCTGAATCAGGTCTGTTTCTATTGATAAGGAAGTTTTAAAGCCAGAGAGCAAAACATATCTAAATGATCTAAAACCTGAAAAGAAATCCTCACATTACCCAACTTAGAATGGAAAACAACGTTGAAAGGTGGACAAGGATCAGATAAGAACTGTGGAAAACACCTCCCATCCCACTCCCCCTTTTTTTTTGGTATCACTTTGCTACTGAAATCAGATTTAATTGGGGGAGTTGGGCTAGATATTTCATATAGTAGTTTCAGCTGTTCATATAACTATTAGCATTTCCATATTTTAAGTAGTGTCCGTTAATAATTAATAAGCTAAAAGTGCTATAATCTTCAAAAAAAAAAAAAAAGACCCCAACCCAACAGTAACTCACAGCTTCTTCAAGGTGCTGCTGATCCGGATGATCATTCGGTGTGTGTCTCAAAATCTCTCTGAGCAGTAATGGGTATTTAACCAAACGGCTTCTTGGGATGTCAAGGAAATTCCAAAGGTCCAGTTTGCGACTAAAAGGAGACTCTAAGCAGCGCTGTAGGAAATCTTGCACTCTGTGATCTTGTTTCTTGTGATCCAGTAAAGCTTTGGCTGCAACTTGATTGCTGCAGTAGCTATCATACGAGTTTAGGCATGGAAGCTGAGGAAAGGAATAAATTATTCTGCAGCTGAAACAAAGCAGAGCTTGCTATATAGAAAGTTTCAAGTGATTCAAGAAGTCAGAACTCATGCTGAAAATCTTTCTGGAGATTTATCCACAACTTATTGATGAGAATGTTTCCAGCAAAGACAAGGTTTACAAAGGTCCTTTGACCACCTTTGTTCATCATTTAAATAATTTAGAAGCACTAGCTCATCCCTCAGTTCCTAGAGGTCCCCAATAATATTCCAAGGCATTAAAAATATCCATGACTTAAGACTGAGCACTACTTAGTGCAGATAATAGTTGAAAACAGAAGTCTGATTTCAGTTATGAATGGAAACAAAAGCCTAGGACCAGACCTGGCTTTTTTTAGACAAACAAACTTCTATAGTCAAACTTATATATTGCCCTCAAGAACCTTGACCAAATTAAGATGACAGAACTGTGCCTTAAATCTGAAAAAAACCCTAGTTTATATGTTGATTAGAATGTTTACAAAAACTGCTATATTAGCACACAATATATGTAAATCTTCAACAATGGAAATTAGACTTGTTTGCACCAAGAGTTCACTCGTGTTCAAACACACTAGAAAATAAATATATTTAAAATTACTTTATGCAAAGAAAAACAGAGATAATTACAAGCTTGTAAATGTAAAAGTTAACTATTTGCATTATGTACCCATAGTGATCGTGTTTCTCATGTTTACAGTAGGCCACACTCACACAGAGCTGCTATAATTGCTGTTATTATCTAATCCCTTGAAAATGTCAAGCCCTTTTTTCCTGCTAAATTTAATTCCCTACATGTACTTACAAATAAAATTTTCATATATTTAAATCCTTTTAAAAAACAGCTTATTTTTTTAATATAGTAAGCAATGTTATCAACAAAACTAAAAAAACCTATTTTCGGTATTTATGTCATTGGATGCTCGTGACAGTGAACTTACCAACTTCTTTGTGGGTCAGCAATAGCATTTTTCTTACACTTCTGTCTGCCTTATTTTAACAAACTTCTAGAAAATTAGTATCTTTGACAGTACTAACAACTACCTATTACCGTGACTGGAAGACTGACATTCAAGAATAACTGCAAGGTGCCCTTACACAATGTGACTGTTCAAGCTTCGTTTCCCTAGGAAACCAGAATACAAATGGGGGCAGATTTTCAAATTATCTGCATCAAACTCTAGTGTAACTTGATTTTTATTTAAAGTTTATCTCCTGAATAGCAAAAGCTTTAAAAACAACATCCTAGTTTACATCTTTTCAGGAAAAAATCCCTGAAAAGAGAAAATATTTCATTTTATCTCTAAATAGTTGCCTTATCTTTTAAAAATACTTCGAGAATATAGTTTTGATATGTTATGCTAGATCTGGAAAGGAAATTGTCTGATAAAAACTATGTTGCAGCTCCAAACTAAAGTCTCAAAATTGATTAAAAACTCTGCCTTACCCAGCCCACAAGGATATGGCCAACATGCTCTGTTGATCCATCAGGTTTCCTGACATCTTGAAGTCGCCTAAGAAGATCTGATCATGATTAAAGAAAGAAGATAAACTTTACTTGATGCATCAGATAACTATAAATCTATGTGCAACAGCAACACAGACGAAGACTATTTGAGTTTTACCTTCATGTAGAGGAATTAGAGAGTCCAATGTTCCAAAAATTTGGTTCAACTCTTGCTCTGTCATTATGGAAAGTTTAAGCATTGGGTCATGATAAGCCTGAAAAGAAAAAGCGGAACTCTGTAATTAATATATTGGTATTAAAAATACCAATTGGTAGCTGAAAAATTCGTGATAACATTTAAAGCTCACTGTAAGCAAAAACAGAACAACTGCTGAGAATATTTTAAATTTTCATAAGCATATCTTAAACTATTTCATATTTAAAAAAAGCAGCACATTTAAGGGTTTCAGAAAGAACAGGAAAATAGAAATATGTTTTGGCTTTTTTCCCTTCTTACTGTCTCAGCAATTATAAAAAGCAAGGATTATTTTATAAGTGATATGAACCAATGAATACACTTTGTTGTGTCTTGTTTTTTTTAAAAAACAGACCTTTTTTGCTAACTTCAGATCTTCTATCAAGTCTTCTTCCCCCTGTGAAAGTTCAAAGATAGCCTGTAAAAAGAGACAAATATTATAAAATATCTTTATTTAATCTATAAAAACTTGTTGAGTTGAGGTTATATTCTGAACAGGTCTCTTAATAACATGTAACAGAACTTCTCTGCTAAATCTAATTGCAGAAATAAAGTCAGGCCTTATTCCATAGCTACAGAACCATATGCAGTATTTTGAAAACCAGATCTATATCAGATTGTTCATAAAATGCTTATCTGAAATAGTCACAGAATTAATTTTTTTCAAACAGATGTTTCCAGATGGGGGAGCTATCTTTGGTGCGATATTTTGACTCAACTGTATCTTAACCATTTATACAACTATATGCAAAAGAGTTTGTTGTGTTCCATTTTAACACATGCAGTGGTAAAAGTTCTTGGTGGTCCAGTAAGTAAAAGACAGATCTTCTTTAAAACACTTATTTGGTAGTGAGCACTTTTATTTTGATAGCAGTTCATTTTTTTTTTTTATGAAGGCTGAGCTCTACTTAGCCCTTGGCTGATATTAGTTACTTCTCTTGAAGCAGATTTAAGACTTTAAAGCTGGCGGATTAAAAATAACCACCACCCTAATACACTGGCTTATCAAAATACCATTGTATTTGCTTATTGCATGACTTAATTCTAAACTGGGTACAGTAGAAGTTAACCACACATTGGTCAGTCGGAATTCCTCACTTGACAGTCAAGGCTTTCAGCCTACATAAATCACAAAAGAACATCTTCAGCTAGCACACATTCTCCTAGCTTGGTAATACGCATACATGGAGGGCTTGCCATAGCGTGAGGTAGCTGACAGCGCACGGATGGAAGTGGTTGCGATATTTTGTTCAGGCGTGCAGTGTAAGAACCAATATAAAGCAGAACCCCCATGCAAAACTCCTGGAATAGAGCTCACTTATTTGGGCTCTGTGAAAGGTCCTGGCTTCTGCCCCAAGAGAGTAATGACTGTTACACTATGCAAACAGTTATTTTAGTTTTCAATAAGCTGCCTTTGAAGTTCTCAATTTTAAAGGTTATTTCCTATGAATTCCTGTACAATGTTAAAATCTGCACAAGAAATGCTTGACGTTATTGTTGTTTGATTTATGACTCAGTTCCTGGAGTATTCTTGGAGAGATTGTTATAAACTTTGTTGATACTGCTAGAATTTTCTGTAGCAAAAAAATTTCTTGATTCCATGGGAGCTCTGTCATTGGCTGTAACATGAACTATTTAGAATTTGTCTTGTACAACACATTAAAACCACTGATGTCCTCTTTTTTTGCTTTGGAATATACATCTTTCGATCAATATTTCATCTTTCTAGCACTGAAAACTTCCTTAAAGACACTCTTTTCCAACAAGGGAAATGATTGTGCATTTCTGTGTGTATGTATCACTTGATGAATACCTGTTCCTGAAATAGCATGCTCATCTGTCATTACTAGAACAACAAAATGAAACATCAAGATATCAACCATCACTACAGAAACTGTCATACACACATGTAGCCAGTCACAGTACAATATATCTTTGTAACTTCTTAGTAATGTTTATTAAGGATACGATGAGCTGATTTTTTAAAAGAACGTATTAATCTAATGTAGCTTCAATTATAAAGACTGGGGATGGAATTCTGCTTCTAGTGGAGGTGGTGACATTCTGTTTAATTTCAGGAAAGCTTCAAGTGCTATCCTAATGCCAACTAGCATTCCTCAACTCCATGCTTTAAAGATGACTTTTGAACATGAAATTTATGGTAAAAAAAACCACATTACCTCTTGACGCTTGATTTCTTTAGATGTAAGCATGTGATTGACGCAAACATCAAAGGTCTCACTCCATAGTTTGCTGTCTCTCCGCTTGGTGTTAGCAGAGGGCATATTTCGAGACCATGGTCGTGGACTGAACAGATCTGGGCGACTGTCACTACGGAAACTGATAGAACGCTAGAAATAAATACAAGAGTTTTTATTGTTAGAACAGTTTAACACACTTTTTTTTTTTCCTAAGGAATTTAAATACATAGTTCAGTACAACAAACAAACATTATCTAATTAGTTTGTACTGTGACTTAATAGCAATGTGTATTATTGGTAATGTATGAGAAATTATTTTAATATATCTTTATGGAAGGCCAGTACTTCCATTCCTGCAGTGAACTATGTCCATGTCCTGTTCTCAACATGCTTAAAGCTATACAATGCAACATAAAAATAAAAATATACCATGCAACAAGAATGAACTACAGGAGTAATGGCAGGATGGTACAACACACTGACATAACTGATCAAATGCAAGGTTTCAATTCAGTAAACAGACAGGAATTATTCTTCCTCATTAGATCCCTATTACTTAAAAAATTAGAGTTAATGCAAATTTTAGAGACAAAACTAGTATGAATACTTCTTTGGTTCATTTTGGAAGAAAGATTCAATTGTTACACAGAAACTCTGGAAAGCCAGTACAGCAAAATCTGGTAGATAAATTCATCTTGTGTATCAACTGGAAGTCAACAGAATTGTTTACTTTTAGGGGGTGGGATTGTTTGAAGAGGTTTGTACTGAGAAACAATAGGTCCTACCTCAAGGATATCAGATTAAAAGATCCATTACATCAAACACATATTAATGGTTTAAGGAAAAACAAATTTTTCTCAGTTGGACAGAAAGAGGGTTCATAAAGTGAGACTGCCCTTCAAAACCTTTCCTCTTACCTTAATAAGTGTTTTGGTAGCTGATATTTATTTCTTTTTAAACTGTCAGAATCATGAAAGATTTGATTGGCATAGTCATTCCAGATGTGTCCATAAGCAGGATTAAATAATTAGGGCTATAATGCTCTAACTGACCAAACTGGTTTTGATACATGGAAAAGCCTTTTCAACTGGTAATATCTTGCCTCTTCTGCTGTATAATGAGATCAAGAAACTAATTCACATGGAAAGGTGTGAAATGGATATCTGACTGAACAGAGAAGAACAATCGCATTATCTTTAAGGAAAAGGTATTTCAATATTCAGATTTGAACATTTATGCCAAGCAAGCCAGATTCTTCTCACACCATTTGCTCCTACTTATTTCTTAGCATTTGAAGAAATGTGTTAAACAATCAGTGCTAGGAGATAGCAATTCATGAAATACCGGTATTGTATTCTACTACTGTAGAATCTTCATTAATATATCTGGAGCTTCTAAACTCTGACGATGTGTACCAGCATCTCTGTACCTATTATGTAGTCTAGTCTTAAAACTGGACTTTTTAAAACTGAAGTTTAAGTGAGACTTGAGATTTCTATTTGCCTGTAGACTCTTACAAAAGAGTTCAGGCTAAGGATGGATACTTCATGCTCTCACTGTGCTATTTTGAAAAGATTCCTTTCCTGCTTCATTAAAATCAGAGGCTTCTTTTTGAGGTCCTACCTCTCAAATGCCTCAAGTATATCACATTGTTGAAATACTCTACATTTTTGTTGTTATTTAAAACCTGCCTTACATAACACAATTGTCTTTAAATTGCCTTGGGTAAGAATATTTGAAGCAAAATAAATTCTCTTCATTTCCATGTTGAAAACAGCATACACAAAGTACAATATCTGAAATTCTCCTCTGAAGATAAGAGCCCATGAAATCCAAACAGTGCCTATAAATACAATATGTTTTCAAAATATCAGAAGACATATTATATAATTAAAACCTGTGCCTTTTAACAGAAGCCATTTTGAGCCCTACTTGGAATTGACAAAACCCCTAAAAATACACACACACACACACACACATATATATACCAACCTTCCAAAACTTTGCAAGTCAGGTGCTAGTCTTCCTTCAAGAGTTAAGAAGATAAAGAAACACAGTGAAATTACATGCCTACTTTACACTTGTTACAATGATGTACCATGGAACCCATTACTTTCACATGCAAATGGAAATTTTTTTAGAGGCAGGTGTGTTGCATCCACGAATCACAAACCATGAGAATGCAGCCAAGCAGAACAGTTGTCATTCCATGACCCAAGGTGGAATGCCCCTTTCCATGCACTCCCATACACATCCTCCAGTATATAGCTCCGTTGTTTGTGGTGGTGTTTTCTTAAAGGAATGTTTTATGTTAAATTAAGAAAGTGCTTATAATGAAAAGCACCAGACATACTGATTTTTAAAGTAAACGCCTTGATCTTGAAACCTTTTAACAAAAAGTCATTATCACATGATAAAATGGCATGCACTCATAACAGCGAACTGAAATTACATACAGTGTTTTGAGAAATGTCATCTTTCACATCCACTGATAGTCATGTTTCTTTATGCTGCATGAGAATGCTTGATACTATTCTCGACAGCCCTATACTGGCTTCCATTGGGCAGAAGGGGCACAAAAAGACTGAGAGACCCAAAAGGAAACCAAACTCCCCAAAATCCTGCTTGCTTGCTTAGCATCTTTGCTACCTGGACACGCTAAGTATATGTTTAGTTTATTTCTCTCATACATCAGCCTGTTAATTAACCATACAAAGTGTACCTTGCTTAATTTTAATAAGGAACATTGGGTTGGGGATATTTATTAGTGGGGAGGGACAGAAATGTTTTGAGGTATTATTTAACAATGAGGACAAACTTCACTTCAAGAGCCAGTGGTTTCTTTGTCTGGTAGGTTTCCTTCTTTTATACAGTAACACAGCAAAGGCAAAAAACACTGATTGACTTCTTATCCTGGTACACTGAAATGTACTTAGGCTGGGAATCACATACTTCAGTTTGGAATCCAAGCTTATTTTAACATATCATCTTCTCCTTTGCATACAGGTTGTAGAAACTGGCTTGTAAAACTATACAAACTTCACACATCACCAGGGAATACTATTTAATGCTAAGATTAATGCTTTGTCACTTGAGAGTCAAGCATACTTGAATCATCAATGCTGTAACAGACAAGAATAGAAATTAGATGTAAACCTGATATATAAGCCTAATTAAAGAAATCCCCAAATAAACAATAAGTTTTATTTAAATAAAACTCTCTGATAGTTTAAGATAAATGTACATCAGTTTAACCCTCTCAGTTCTACTACTTTAACCATTTTCTTGTAAGTAAACAGACCCCTTTCAGTTTAGTGGAAAAGAGCCCTAAACTGAAGTTCTAACAGAAATTTTTAAAAACAAATTTAAAAGTACTCTGATGGTATCTTTGGTTGGTACTTGCCATGGTGGGGGGGGAATCAGTTGTGGTAGAATCCCATGAAGGAATTGTAGGAATGTCAAAACAGCATTTCTGTGTCTCAAATCTTAAAAATATTTTCCTAGTTCCTGGCTTCCTTAAAAAACATGTCCATTTTATCATCAGTATGTTAAAAAAACATACTGATTAAAAATTATGCTATCTAGGATTATTAAAATTTTCATATAATTCCAAAAGCTGAAGGAGCTGGGGAAGAATCCAGCCAGAACCCCTGTTATCTGACCACAGTAGCTTTCACTGGCAGGTACAGGACTGTTCCTGTGAAGGATCTATGTGTTACTGATGTTAATTCATGCAATTAACAAAACTTAATTTCACCTGCAGTAAAGCAAGCAGCTTCATGTACTGGGAAAAGGGCACTACAGATCAAAGTCCTAGCATTCAGAGCCAATGTTAAAGTGTTTTCTTAAAGATTTTTAGAAATTTCTGGTGTTGTAAGACAGAAAAAAATAATTTTGACTCGCTACTTAAATTCAAGATACAGTGGTGAAAACCGAAGTTGCAGGGGAAGCTAGCCAGACTTTAATTTCTCTCTTCAGCATCAGCTGGAGTTCTTTTTCTGATCCTATTTTCAGCTTCTAAGCTGAACAGCACAGCTGTGAATAAGACCAAGCAGATCATTAGTCTAGCTTGATGCAAACTGAAAATACAGCTATGAAATCAAAGTGGTTTTCCAGGTGGATAAACAAATAAGAATATCTGCTTAGCATTTGGTGCCCTGCAGATACACAGACTCTGTCAGAGATGGATCTAACAGCATTATTTTAATCAGTTATTCTACAGTGCTCTATTTGACAGAAACAGAGTGACCACAAATAGTAAAAAAAACAAAAACAAAAACAAAAAAACCACAAAAAAAAAACCCACCACAAAACAAACAACCCACACCAACCCCCAAAAAAACAGAAAGAAAGTTGGAAAGGCTTGATGTGTTTTGTTACTTGGTATCCTTGTGGAAATGTATTGACAACATGTGGAAAATAGTAATAAAGTAAGATACAAAAAACCCCAAATACCTCCATAATCATTAAAATATGCAAAATCTGAGAAGCTGCTAAGAACATATCTTAAAAAACACTACAGAGATCTCAGACACAGAGGTGTCTCTCTTCAACCTGCATGCAGGAAGTCCATTAATATAAAGCCAAAGTTACAGGTACAGAGGTAAGGAAAATTATGCACAATAAACTTTTTTTTTCTTCTTAGATGTATCTTCCATTTCGAAAGAATATATAAGAAGGTTTGTTTGAAATGTCATAAGGGAAGCTCAGAATTTTCTAATTCCTTTTATTGATGATGTTGGAGTGGCCTTTTTGGAGGAATGTTCTGTTGGCTGTTTTGTGGGTTTGTTTTTTGTTTTGTTTGTTTGGTTGGTTTTTTTTTTCCCCAGGGGAAGAAGTTGTTTGTTTTGGATGTTGTGGTGATGATAGTAGTTTTCTTCATTTTACAGATAGAGAACATCTAGCAGCAAGGCAAGAAGAAACATGGGTTTTAACTGAAATAGCTTAACAATAAAAATATTAAAGTTCATCCAGTAAGAAAAAATCAACACTATTTTCTTTTTACAGGTATTACAGCATGAAAAAAATCCTGCTCTATACTGTTCCATGAGGTACAGTGACAGCTATGTCAATAAATAATAAAGTAAAAAAAGCTATACATGCTTCCCAGAATGTTTCTAAATAATTCCAAACAGGGCACTTGAGTGCAAGAAGGTCAGTCTTTTTTCTTCCCCCCTGTCCTATTGTTGCTTACAAAATCAGATAAGAAGTCAATTTACAGCCAGCCATGAAGGCAGTTTTGAGAGACGTCACCAGCATTCATCACTTGGAAATGGAGTCAGACCTAGGATTTCCAGAACATACAGGTTGATTTCTCATTGCAGCTCCTTCAAGCACATAGTTACTTAAAGGAGATGGTATGAATAATACCACTGTTTAATCTGTTTAGAAGCACAGTTAACTAAAATATATTCTTATAATCAGTAAGAATAGAGCAAGACAGAAATGCTTGCAACAGGAGGACTTGCAACAAAGCCATTGTTTTCTATTTTTGTCAAAATTCGCCCTGAAACACATTTAGGTAGCTCTCATCCTGAGAAGCTGCTACTGCATGCGTGAAAGGATAGTTTGTTTCAGATAGTCTGGATCAAACTTTATTAAATACAATATTGTTCTGGACAACCTAGTCTCAAAGGCATTCACTACAGAACGATAGCGTTGGTACTTAAATGAGGACAACAGCTGTCTAAGGCTGAGAAAAGGGAAGTGCCGTGCTCAGAAGCAGTTTAGCCAAAAATTAATTCACTTTCCACACTCCTCACAACTGGAACGAATGTAGTCCTTGCAGAGTTGGGCCAATTTTTTCCTGGAGGCAGACTACGGAGGAGATTTATACACCCCAGGGAATACAGGCATCTCTGCTCTAGTCACGCAATAATACACCTTCTGGATCAAACCCAGGCCGAGGGGAGCTCAGCCATTTTGCCTTTCCTCCAACCCGCACACGCAGCTTTTGCATGCACATGTCTGCACTTTCAAAACTGTAGGAACCCAGCACAGGAAAACCAATGTTAAAGAAACCCTGTCATATCTGTTTACTAGATAACTACCTCTACAGAAAAATCAGGGCTTTTCCCGCGGCTTGTTATTTGTCATAAGACTCCTCGCTCTAAGGTTTTATTTCTTTCCTCCTTGAGGTTACAGAAAACTTCACTAATGCTCTAATTAAGCTGAATTTGATTAACTAACATTTTTAATACATTCAAGATATTTTTGTATTTCCTCTCATCAAATAAATTAAGCTTGTTAAATAATTTTTTTTAGATCTTACGCACACCTTCTTACACAAACTGTTTTAAAGCAGAAACACTCTGACTCCCTAGGCCAGACCCACAGCAGCGCTGCAGCTCTGACTGCTTGCCACTCGTCATAACCATTAGGAGCTGAGCACCCATTCTGCAGTCTCTAGGTCTGAAGGCACAAATGCTTTATAAATAAAGTTCCATTAGTGTCTAAGTATGTGAAATATTATGCACCTAATCTATAACAGAAATTGCAACTACAAGAGTGTTTCATTTCTAAACTGCATTTAAACTTTACTTGACCTTTTTAAATTTTAATCATCAGCTTCAGAAAATGACTTTTTTCCAATTGTTCACTAACTCTTTTGTTTAGGCAAGGCCAAAGTTCACTACACAGAAGGAAGTTTAGCGGTCCTACATGACTAACTATACCAAAAATAACATTTTCAAAGAAACCAACCCAAATTAACAGAAAGTGTTGTGGAGAATTCTGTTCATAAAATTTTAAAAGTAATCGTAATACTTGAGTATAACAACTTTTCTATGCTACAGGTGCAATAGTATTTTTATTGGTAATTAAAAACCAGCAGTTGTTTGACCGAGAAGTGGTTTTTTGAGGTGAGAGTTCTGAGATTTTAAGTAGAGTAACTGCCTAAACCTGTTTGGCATATTACAATGGGGTGTGTGAGCACATGTGCAGGTCCTGTCCCATGCTGACCCCAGAAGTTGTGAATACCTACGCATTTCCCTTTCAGCAATGCAATCCAATGCAGCAATGCATTTACTGTGATTACCTGAAGTGT